TGTATTTGGGAACCTTGCAAAACTAGGTAAATAATGTAAATATTTGTAAAATCTGTAATTATTGATGCATGTTACCTCATCATCATAATTCTTTTGTTATATGATTGTACGCTGTAACATGATGTAAAGTAAATATTAATTTATGAGTACTGCATTCATTGTCTTCTTCCCTTTCAGCCATGGAAAATTGTGTTTTAAGTATAAATATAGCATTTATTTTTTTTTATTTTTTTTTTTGTAATGTGTTTTTATTGAACCATTTGAGCCTCCGCGTAGGACATTCATAGTGGCGCAAACAAACTATGTCCGGCATACGATACCTCCCCCAGCGACTGTTCCTTCATATCCAGGCATGTTGTCAAACATGCTGGCTGGAGGAGCGGTGGGGCCAATGGACTCAGCAACGGGTGGGGCAAACATTGCTGAAACAAACCAGAAGAACCAGTTCACTCATAGCTACAGACAGACTTTGAAATTGTATAAAATTTCAATCCTGTATTGACATTTTCACGAATCACAGTCAGACCAAAAAGAAAACCGGGAAAAGAAAGCTGTAAAATAAATACATAAATAAATAAACTCCATCACTCAGTCTATTCTGAAATCTCCGGGCATTGTCCAAACACGTCACTGCTTCACAACATCCTATAAACCTGTTAGGGTGCAATGTGACTTACGTTTGTGCAACTCCATGTTCGTATCCATACTGAGTTGTTTTTCCCGCACCAACTACTTCAGACAGGGGTTGATCTCACTTCCTTAAAACTTCCTTAAATCTCGCTAGACATTACACCCCCAGCAGTCTTATGTTACACTACATACGACTTCTCCAGCGACAGACACCTAACCTGTACGCCGCGATGACGTCACTCCCACAGCCGGAAGATGATAACTATTACTTTTATCACAACAATCTGTATCAATGAGTAAGAAAATAACAAGGAGGGTAAAAGATCTTACCAGGCGTCCCCGCAGCTGCTGGTATATAACCGGGATTATTTATTCCATAATCTCTGCCTGGCTGACTGCAAGTAAGGGGAAACGAAAGTTAAGATAATCAGAGTGTGTGTGGGGGGGCAAAAAAATTAATAAATATAATAAAATGCGAGCTGGGTTAAAGTTTAAAGCAAAGACATACAGAATAACGCGATCATTACCTCAGAAAAGGCTGTCGCTCCATTCCAAAGTGTTTCACAGCAGCTACGAGAGAAAAGTCACACCGTGCAAAGTCTTCAGATGTGATCTAGATGTGATCTGCACTGTCACTTCATCACAAGACATCAATCATGTGACATAAGACTGATCATTCGCCTTTTATTGCCCCACTCCTGCGTTACGTTCCCAGTTTTTCACAGCTGCCAGCTCTGGTTGCAGCAGTCAAACAGGATTAAAAAAAAAAGATTTCTGGTTTTCTCAAAATAGGAACTGCCGTATTTTATTGATAGTTTAGAGAAGTACAGAAAAACCCACCCCAGCACATACACACTCCCCCCAAAAGAGAAAGTATCCGCTCAGGAAGTACGCACCAAGTTTTGGGAGCGTGTTACAAATAATGGTGTATTTACAGCTAAAAGCCTCAGAGCACCACCGGAAGGTATCAAAACACTTTACGGATAATAACAACGACCAGAGTCCAAATATGTAGCTAAAACAGTTTTGACAAAGACAATCCGGTTGAGTCAAAAAGCATGTTGCAGGGTTTTTTTTAGATAGACTACAGCACCCATAATCCTTTGCAATGCTCACGGAAGTCCTTTTTCTTTCCTTCCGCCATCCCCGAAGTCCCTTTTGGATTTACATCGGCGGGTGAGTTGGTACAATCTGAAACAATCCGCTAGATTTTGGGCATTATTCGCCCATCCTGACATGGTTCACGAATCATTGACATTTATTATATATGTACAGGCTACGAGTTATAGTTTTGTCTTGCGATATGTGCCTAAATTGAGCAAAGTAAAGAGACTTACCGGCTGGCAGCGCCATCGACGTGAAATGGAGTTGTAGTCTTCAGCAAAGGCCTGCTGTACTAAATTTCTCATAGAAATATATTCTGCTCATAAATCTAATACGTGACAGAAAACAAAAGTAGTTGTACGTAATTGTATTTATGTTTAACCTCAAACTCATGTGAAATCCTTACAGTAGAGTAGCATGGCTTGGCTAGCTAGCTAAACATTGAGCCTACCGGAGACGCTAGCTAACGATGGTCTGCACGTTTGCTTTGAGACTCACTTCTCGGAGTAGATGTAGATGTTTTGAGACATAAAGGCTATGCTTGTCTTTTGTTTCAGCTTGTAATTGACAGAATATAGTGCAGCAACGGTGAGGCTTGGCATGTTGAGTTTGTGCTAAACTTGTCTTTTCATGTGGTTTGTCCTCAGTCACCATGGCAGCCCTCAGGCCCCTCACTAAACCCAAGATTGTCAAAAAGAGAACCAAGAAGTTCATCCGCCATCAGTCTGACCGATATGTCAAGATCGCGGTAAGTGTCATGTCATAGATGCCCATCAGTTTTGGACTGTTTACCTGCGGGGACTAACGCATGTCAGTGAGTTATATTACCTACACGTTTATTCACATATCCCTACAGAAAAACTGGCGCAAGCCCAGAGGTATTGACAACAGGGTCCGCAGGAGGTTCAAGGGCCAGATGCTGATGCCCAACATCGGTTATGGTAGCAACAAGAAGACCAAGTTCATGCTGCCAACTGGTTTCAAGAAGTTCCTGGTGCACAATGTCAAGGAGCTCGAGGTCCTTTTGATGAGCAACAAGTAAGTTATGAATGCATATGCATGTAGATTACTGCTGCCGTAGATGTAGAGGACATGGTGCACCAAATGGCTTGTATTGGAATAATGTCATACATAGTTTTTTTCCCCAATGTCTGTGCAAAAGTTTATTATAATTAAAAGTATGCAAACACTATATTAAATTAGACAGCTACAGGGAGACAGAGTAATTGTTTTTGTGTAGTTAAAGTATGTTGAAGGATTTTACGGAGTCTTCCTTGTTCAGGTAAAGCCTCTAAGACTGTGACTGTGCATATATGCATGTTGAGATCATGTACAGTAAAGAAATAGGTTTAATATAGCAGAAGCCTGTGCATTTTGGTGGTATTTGTCCATAAACATAAGGTGCTGCTTGAGTCAGCGAAACCCCAATAAGTAAAACTTATCATGTTATAGTGCTGATGACTTTTCTGAGATATGTGTGCAAAAGATGATGAGCATTTCATATATTTAAAGTTTGCAGTTGCATTGACTGGTTCAACAGTGAGTGATGTTTCCATTCTCAGTCATCTTGGCATTTTATCTGGTGAAAGTTGCTGCTGGTTTAGTATTACCTCCTAAAGATGTTTTGCTTTTGACAATTTTTGGCCTTCTACCTAAGAAAAATAACAGGGGACTGTAATTTTTAAGCCCCATCTTTACCCTTAGCCTATCTGATCAGTCGCCACTCAAAGACTTTTAAAATGACATTTTTGCCTCCAGTATGTTGAAGTAGCTGCATACTTTTGTCACATGTCTCAAACCTCAACAAGTGAGACCAAACGCTGGAAGGATTGAGCCACTATATGAGCCCCAAGTTAGTTTTTGTTGTTTTGTTGTTTTTTTTTGTTGTTTCTTTTGTTTGTTTGTTTGCAGAAGCGAATGGATGTTTGTTTGTTTTGTTTTTTTTAGGATATTTAATTTTGTAACTGTAGGCCATGGCCAGAAAAGACACCACTCATCCCCTGATAATATTTTTTAAAGGTGGTTTTAGTTCATGAGACTAATATAATAACCTAACAGTCTGATAACCAGAAATACAGATGTCATTTTAAAAAAAAAAGAAAGATCTTGTATGAGGAAGTTGACTGTCAATGTACCTCCACAATAACTGAATTCCCAACATCCTATTAATAGATGTTTAGTTGTCAAAGTTTATTTGATCACTGTTTCAAAGTAGAGCGGAGGGTTCAGTGTTTAGAGGAAAGAAGTTTGTAACACTTAAACACCTACATTGAAATGCTAGGAGTTCTCCCATGGTCAGACGCAGCGGGAATTTCACTTCTTATTGTACGTGTACACAGTTTCTGGTTATCAAAAAGATTTTAAACCTATAATAAAGCCACTTAGCTTGTTTTCAGAGACTTGATCTTTTTTTGAGATTACTCAGTGTTTCGGCAGTTAGTTTGATTCAGAAGGCATATAATTGATCCCATAGGACAGGTCGTGTTGAGAACCCTAATAGTGCTCAGACTGTTTGCTACGGGAGGATGTGGACCCCAGTTTCTCAGCTGTATTGGACAGACAAACTTTAGGCATATGGTTTGTGGTTCAAGGGAGCAGTTTGATTCTTCTCATTCACGTCTTCTTTTTAAAAATAACTTATTTTTTGAACCAGGTGTAAGCATAAGTCCACAGAGATGATAGTCTGGTCAGTAAAGATGAGGGTCAGATCAGCTGCATAGTTTTCACGTAATTTGTGGCACAACTTTCAGAGGATTGTCTTTGCCAGAACATGGACTGAATCCTGATGCTTGACATTTTGACATCTTGCTAATGTCCATAAAGTTGTGATTGAATTTATGCTTATTGAAATTGTGACAGACTAAACTTTTTATAATTATTTTATTTGGGATAAATACAAAAATGTCACATGTCAGTTGCTTATATTTCCTTGAAGACACCTTTTTACTAACCGAATGTGATTCTGTGCCTCTGTAGGACTCACTGTGCCGAGATTGCCCACAATGTCTCCTCCAAGAACAGGAAGCTGATTGTGGAGAGGGCAGCTCAGCTGGCAATTAAGGTCACGAACCCCAACGCCAGGCTCAGGAGTGAGGAGAACGAATAAACTGGTTATTCACAATAAAGACTTAAAAATGGAAAATGGCTTCTGGATTTTTTTTTTTTTTCAACTTTTGAACTTAATTGGCTGTTTTTAAAAAGACTCTTGTGAATATATGAAACAGATTTAAACCTGGAGTAATACTATAAAGATCAAAATTAGTACCAAGATTTTGGTCATACATTTGGTCAAATGTGCATTTATAAAATAAAAATTGGTTTATTTCTTACATTCAAAGGAGTATCACTCGTGGAAGGAAGAGCTATTTTATTTTTCCCCGGAAATGATAAGAAATTCTTACCCAAGAGAGCTGGTTTCATTTTCCCTGGGCAACATTATTATTATTATTATCTTTTTTTTCTTTTTTACCAAACCCTGTCGGTGAATGGAATAGAACAAAAGGGGCAAGATACCTGAAGAGAAGCACTGACCTGCACTTTAAACAGAGGAGGGCAGAACTTATGGACAGTTATTACTCTTATTACAGTGTGAAATAACCCAAACTGCAGTTACCTGTGGTACCATGTTTGTTTTAAGACCACCTCCTCTTAAAGACATCCTGAATTTATAAACTCGTAAACCATTAAAAATCATAAATATTATGTTTTTGACACAGGGAGATTAGACAGGTGATTCTTGCGTTAAGGTGTCCAAAGATTTAGATGATCTGAATATATGTACAAGTAATCTTATGACTGCAAAGAGCAGACTTTTTCAGACTAATTCAGGCTTTTTTTTTATTTTTATGCTGAGCATAATGTAAATGAGAACGGATGCCCTTTACATGGTCAACTCTTGCTGTTCAACCTTCTGTTTGTGAGGGATAACCAATCAAATGAGATTCCAGCTGAAGGGAAAGAAGCCAATATGGATTTTTCAGACAGTGGATGAACTCAAGTCCAGTGTAACACAAATAAGGAGTACTTAAAAACCTTCTCTAATACAGATGTAAAAGTGAACCTAACGGTTTGTTTAATAAGGTTTGTTTTTTACAATTTGATATTATTTAGAACTTGAACAAAAGTCATGTCAGTGTAGTTTAAATGGTACCCTAAACATTTTGTATTGCTATTTAGTTTTATCGTGAGGTGTACTCATAGGCTTTTCGGGATTTCTGTTGCTATATATAAGTAAAAGAAGCACACATAATTTGTTAAACCTGCTACAGCAAGTTCATAACAAGCCTTTCTGTAAAGATTCATATGTGTTGCCTAATCCAAAATTAAGCTTGATGACATTATCTCTGACTAAAAGCTCTCTCAGCCATAAAGGACATTTTTCAAGCCTTCTGTATAGAAAGGAAGCCAACAGTTACCACCTGACTTGTATTGGCTGACTGGTTTTGGACCAGTTAACTTGGAGCTTAGAGTCAGTTTGGCAACGTGGATGAATATGTTCTGATAAAGCCTCGGCTGACACACTCATGTAATTACTTAAGTTGTGTCAATAGAGCAACGACAATGTAATCAAAAGGCATTGCTTGAATTGGCCTGCTCAGATTGTGTACTGCTTGATGATGTTGAGAGCCGGATCCCTGCAGAGAAAGTTTCCATTGCGTTCTGGCAGACAAGCTGTGCCCCACAGCCCTGAGCCCTCTGCCATCTGTTCCCGTAAAACTGACATTGCCAGAGAAGCAAAAACACAACATTTATTTGGCCAGTCAGCTTGTGGCTGTTAGGATGTGGAAGTAAGTTACCAATTATGATTGGAAAAAACAAGCAGAATCTTGGATCTGAAGCTTTCCTCGTTCCGAAACCAGCACCTGTTTGTGGAGTGTCCTGGAAGACTCACCTTAGAGGACTGGATGTTCTCCAGAGAGAAAGAGAGGAGAACATGAGAACAGCAGGGCAGGCAGACACTGCAACGTCTGAGAGATGGTGAGAGTGTCAGGAAGAGGACAGAATCTATTTTTTCCCTTTCACTGCTCAGAAAATGAACATGTCAGCAAGGGTCACGTTTGGAAAAGGGCGCCTCACTTCCAAACAGCTCTTCTTCGCCTTCCCTCAGACAGATTCCCTGAGGAAAGGCAGCCGGTCTGCAGGAGGAAAGAGAAGGATGTTCTCCTTTTCTCTCAGATGTCGACTGGGTGTCATCAGAGGAAGGACAAAAGGTAAAATCTGACATTTAATATTTAACAAGATACCCAAGACTTCTATGGAGTATCCAGAATTTATCTTGTAATCCCAACAAAATACTTACGCAAGTTTACCTCTGTATATAACCTTCAACACTCTTTAATTCATGTACATTATGCTGCAGGCCTGTCAAACATAAATGTGTGAGCATGCTTGAGACCTGTGAAACTGAACATTCGCTTGAAGAAAATCTTGGATGATGATTCTTAGAGGTGAACAGGAACGCAGGCGTGTGATGTGTGGGACACGCGTTTCCTCTGGCTCCTTTTCTTCACACTGATATGTGCTGGCTGACAAGTGATTTAGTCATTTCGCTCCTCACACTTTCACTTGCAGCTGAAGCTGATAACCATAAGATGGCAGTGTGGTCAGTTTGATCGATGTTGAGGTTAAGCTCCACGGCCTCCTGTCTGGAATATGGTCGTGTGAAGTAAATGTAGGCACTTTCGTGAGGGTTTCTCTACGTAAATGGAGATGGATCAGCATCGAACAGCGAAACCAGTCACACACCAATGTCTGTTGAGATCACGAAATATTTTACACCAGTTTCTTTTCTCTTTTTCAAATATTGAATATCACACATCTTTGTTTTTATGCCAAGGTCACAACAACAAAAAAAAGGGCACTCTTATACTAATCAATACCTTGTCAGTAATGCTACAGCAATTATGTTGATTTATCGTCTAGAGCAAATGTAAAAGAGTCCATTTTTATAACATTGCCAGTCGGTTCCCAGAGGTTTTTATCAGTCCAACAGACTGCTCCATCTCCCAATTCTCTTTATTCTGGTGGAAATTAATTAGTCTCGCTCTGAAAGACTACACTCGCTCACACTGTAAATGGGGTATTAAGGACAAAAGTCTCAGAGGAAATCATCTACACCAAAGAGTATTGTGTCCACTGGAACAGCTGACTAATTAGGCTCCACGCAACAGCGGATAGAAACATGGAAATGTTTGTTTGTAATCACTTTACACATGTGGGCAAAAGGCCTCTTTGGAACAAAGGGTCTAATGTTTTTTATGAGCTTCTGAATTTTATGTATTTTGGTTTTATCCCTTTTTTTAAATCTGCCTCTAAAGTGATGACAAAAACAATCTACACTGAACCAAAAACAGAGGCTGATGAGGTTTCGAGGAGCTGCCAGTGATGCTGAAGGAGGGGTTTGTTTTGATAGTGGTTGCAGCGCGGGTCAGGAAGTGGCAGGCGTGAGGCTTTTGTGCGTGACAAATGCCCAGACAGGTGCAGTGATGGGCCCTCCGTGTTTGGGTGGAGGGCCCCTGAAGGATTAGCAAAGGGTCCTTTAACCCCTCAGAGGGTGAAACATGAGATGTCAGGCCTCAGAGGAAACACATTTCACAGTTTCATTAAGCTGCTCAGATTTAACGTGTTCCTATTTTACTGCCGTTTGAATATATTTCACTTATTATCACGATTGCAGTTTGAATGTCGACTGTGCTTGACGACTGCATAATATTTAGAAGCAGCAACAACTGCAAGATGTACAGGCAGCTGTTCTTCACAGGAATTTAACATATGCTTCCTCCAATATGCTGCGAGAAAAAGAGAGAAGATAAGAGCACTGTGTAGACACAAGCTCTGTAAAACGGTTTTGTCTCCATGTGAGAAAAACGTGACACTGTCTGACAATGAATGTGCAGGTGGTGTTAATTGTTCCGAGAGTTGAGTGTGTGGGGTGTGCGCAGTTTTGTCGTGTCTAATCTGAACGTGTGTACTCTATGTGTGTGCTGAGGATGTGTTTGACTTGGTGGGAAGTGGATAAAGAGTCTGTATGTGTGTGTGGGGGTTGGCAAAGGGGAGGGAGTGACTATCGTGTGTGCCTGCTTCACTGAACCCCTCTGGCAGAGAGGGAGACAGAGAGGGGAGAGCAAACGCTGTAGCTCTGTATGAGAGGGCTGTGTGTGAGCTCATGTGAGTGTATGAAGAGGGCATGATAAATCCTCTGGAAAAAAGACGAGCGATTAGTAAGAATAGCGCAAAAAAACGGGACAACAGCGAAATGGCAAGAAAAGGACACGAACCATTTCTCTCCCTGCTTTGGATTTTATAGAAGGAGCACAGCTTGGCAGATAGTAGTTTTAGATGTATGTGAGCATTGAGAATAATCATTTAGGAAGGTAGTGAGGATCAAAATTTGCCCTTTGGAGCTCCAGACCTTCCTGGATAGTGTCAAAATTTAAGGACATGCTGGAGTTGATGCACAGGAATGAAGGAAGAAAGATGTTTTTTCTAAGCAGCTGAGATCTGGTCTCTTGGGTCGCCTATTTTCACCACAGCTCTCTGCCCACTACTAAAGATCAGCAAGGTTACTTCCAGAGGGTGGCTCCGCTGATTTAACTCCAGCCATGCTCTGTGGTCTGAGGAGAGACACCAAGAACAGCATTGGTAAGAGGAACATATTCTGACATTCAGAGTCAAAGGGTACAGATTTTGTGTGGCCATAGAAGATTTAAGACAGTCACTTCTCAGAGGTGCCTACGTCCCTGCGGTCTTAAATCTGTTCAGCTTTAATGCAAATGAATTTGATGGTGGAATCATTACAGTGCGTGCAATGCAGCAGTAATAGATTGCGAGAGATTTAAATGTCAGTGGACTCAGCCACCAGCTCTGCATATCATCCTGTCATGTGTAATTAGGGCAGATATAGCAGCATAAACTGGGTCTGGAAGGGCCCAGTTTATAAATAAAGTTTCACCTCTGAAAATAGCGATATGATTTCATTGTCAGTCAGTACCGCCCACATATTTAACCTACATTCTGGGATAGTAAAAAGTGCCCTTAATTGATTCGGAAGTTAATCAACTCCCTAAATATTTATGCAGGAAGAATCTTATTTGTAGTCACCAGGTCTTTCAGATGGAGGAGTAGTCATACCCTTAAAAAAAGAGTTTCCTCTAAAGAAACAGAACTGAGAGGATTCATAGTTGTAATCAACACCATTCCAATCTTAATTTTGGCTCTTGATTTGGGTGCTGGTTTTTCAAAGCTGAAGCAGGATGCCTGGAGGATGGCTTGATGGTACAGTAGCATTCAGTCACGTGCGGTGTGTTGGGTCTGTGTAACCCAGAGCCAGTGTTGCCTTTTGACAGCAATGACAGCTGTTGGACCGTCAGGGCCCCCAGGAGTCCGTGTGGTTACGAGGCTTTTGCCTTGCCTAACATGTTTGCGATGTGTCACTCACTTTGTGTGCTTTGTGCCTCAAAGCTACTGGACACAGGACTTGTGCAGGGACGTGAGGTAAATTAATGACAATGTTATGCTTGTGCATATTCTCCAAATCGCCATAACGTGCAAGACGGAGATTTGTCTAGTTAAGCTTTGACTCATGCGGATGTGTCCACGTGAAGGCTGGATTTTCTTCTCGTATCCCGCGGCTGCCTGAAGGTTTCAGGTCAGTAAAGGTATGACAAAGGATCTATGCCTCTCAGCTGTCCGAAGGCTTCAGCTTCAGTTGGACAGATGTGGTGACTCGGTGTGGACAGAGATAAAGCGGTGGGTTTGATGCCCTTCAAGCACTTCAGTCTTTGCAAATCAGTGCAGATAACAAAAAAGACATGTCAGACTAAATGAAATGACATTCTTCATGTCAAACCAATATATTGTCAGTAGATCATTGTCAAACTGATATAATCTGAAGCCTGAAAGCTTACTTACTTCTTTCATTTCTGACCTAGAGCAAATGAGAGGAGATCATACATGAATATTTGATTCTCATAGGCATTCTCATATATGGACATACAGTACATATATGTAGTTCAACTTGATTTCTTTTTTGTCTATTATTATCCTCTGTCTCACTTGCATTTTGTACATTGTCACGTTTCAGTGAGCCCTGAAGTTGGCTACAACTTGAAATCTGCTTTTCTTGTGACTGTTTACATCTGGCACCATTAAAAAGCATGCATAATGAGCTTTTAGCAGCAGGTGTCGTTTGCAGTGTGTTTATGGATTTCGCGAAAACCACGGCTTCATTACATTTAATACTGAGGAAAATGTACATTTATGATTATTCCCCAGCAGAGTACTACGGTTTGCCTTCTCAATGATGTGTAGACAGATTTATGGATGTTTGTTCAGATGAATATTGTAATTATTGTGACACTCTCACACAGTGTAAATCACCCTAAATCTAAAAACATGTATGGCACCTCAGTTCCCTTCAAGAGTTCTGGGGCTGCGCGTTGCCAAAACTATGTACCAATCAAAAATACTTAACTTCACCGTCCAGCGGTTTGAAAAGCTTGTGCAGTTAATGTGTTAGGACTGATTCTTACCAGTGTCTCCACTCTGCAGTACTAACGCAGTCATCATTCCAGACTCTTGCTTGTGAGTACTTCAGTTTGATGCACGTCATATGAAAAGCAGCAACATGCTCTCCTCCACTCATCTCATCTAAGTGTGGACCTGGCACAGCTATTTTTCAAGTTTGTAATGTGATGTTCAATCGCTGTGCTGGAGAGCTGAAAAAGCTAATCCGCAATGAACAGGATTAGCGAAACGCCAAGTCAGTTTCCTCATCACTACGACTGCTGACATGGATGCATGGCTGCTTTCAGGTTCAGATGGCTGGGCAGTTGCTCCACTAATCTGAGGACGGTCCAGTGCTGAGTCCCACTGTGGGTTAAGAATAAAAACTACCTTGCTCTGCAGAGCACATTCCCTAGCTTTATCTGACAGCTTCTATAAATGACATGAAATGATGATTTCCTCTCTATGCATGAACAGACCATTAACTGCATGCTGTTCTTTCAGGAAGGCTCCCATGCTGTAGTAGCTGCTTGTTGCAAATGTATCCTTGTGTTAAATTAAAGGTCTTTAAAGGTCCTTGCTGGAGACAGGGGCTAGCTATTTTAATTCCTTGACCCTTTAATATGATTGTTAGGGAAACAAAGTGGTGTGACCTTTCAAGGTCCCGAGTTTGAGGTGACCATTCTAGCTCAGATAGTCCTGACAGAAGTATTTTTGGCTGTAGTGTTTCCCTGCAAAAGCTCCTCAATGACAGAGGGTGAAGTTCAAACCCCTTACTGTGGGCTGCTGTCACGATGTGCATTGGGGCAGTCGTTTTCATTTAGTCTTCTGCTGCAGCATTTCCCTACATATCCTATCACCACACTGTCTCTTCAGATGAAGGACCATACTCAAAGGGAAGCAAAGAGTCCGGGGCAACTGACCAATCACATTCGTCTCGGAGGCGCAGCCTTTCAGGTACAATACACTCAAACCTGATGTTACATCATTTACTTTGTTTGTTGTCTGATTCATGCTACTATGCTCAATTCACCTGAGTCCCCAAGAAGAGGAAGCATCACTCCATGTTTGATTGAGACGCTTGTCTGTATGCACGTAGAGCCGTTTACGTCCTGCGGTTTGCTTGATGTTGCACTGTTTTGAATGCTTGGATAAGGTAAAATATTTGCTTGTGTTGCAAACCTGTCATTGGTAGTAAAACCACACATTGCAGACTGATTTAAAAGCACAGCACAATGTGGAGCGCAAGACAGAATGAGTTCTCCGTTGACACATAAGCACATATCCATCAATTATTGACAGGCCAGATAATTTCCAGCTTGTTCTTTATTATGAATTGGATGCATTTCTTTTCTCAATCCTTATGTAGAGTCGTTTGAATAAAACCAGTTTTATTCTCCACATCCTCCTTCTGAACTCTTCACAAAGATTAACTGAGACAGAGAGATCTGAAGGAACAAGGAGAAGACAGGAGGCTGAGAAAATAAAGTGGGAGGTCTTATGTCAGAGAGCATTTCTGTGAAAGATTCAGGGAAAGAGTCTTTCGTTGCCCCTCAGACAGGGTGATTCTGTCAAGCAGAGGCTAATGCTGACTGCAGATCTGTGCCTGCGTCTGTATCTGTCAGCAGAAGAGTATCGAGGAGTGACCACCGTGGATCTGATGAAAAGGGAAGGCAGCAGCCTTGGCCTCACCATCTCCGGAGGGTCTGATAAGGATGGCAAGCCCAGAGTGTCAAACCTACGGCCAGGTGGGCTAGCTGCCAGGTGAGATCTCTGCTCCGTGATGCATTTAAAACCTGGCAACCACACCAAGCTGCCCGGACTTATTATTCTGCCCCCTGACAACGTGCGCATGTTGCAAAGCTGCACCGTCTCACTAACTGCAGGGCTGTAGGCAATGTGTTAGATCAGCTTGACCCAGAGTGACACCCCAACAGGATCAATGGAGCTATGTCCAAGAGCAGATTTAAATTTTATCTCTATTTCTGATCAGTTCATGCTTGATTTGCTGTACTGTGGTGATAACTCAATATAAATGTTTTGTGAGCGTGCTTTTTGTGCTCAAAGATTGTTTAATTAAGATAAAGCTAATTTTCCCCAACATCAGCCATGTGATAAGAAAATTCATTGGAAAACTCACATTTCATGATGATTAAGCAGCATGTGACCACAGTGAAACACACACACACACACACAGATTTGTGAGAATGACACAGCCCCTCTGAAAATGTCTTGGCCAAATATATCATCACTCGTCAAATCCAAGGAGGTTTTAAACGCAGACACAGTGCTAATTCTTCCGAGCAGCTTGTTTTCCATCAGCCGAGTTCATGCTTGTGTGGAAGTGCTAGTTAATTTACTTGGTGGAGAGACACACAGGCAGACAGGAGAGCGACAGGCAAAGACATAGTGTGATGAGACTGGACCAGGCGACAGGCCGTTCAACTCTGCCGGTTGAGACATCTCTCTTACTGCTGTCAGTGCTGATTGTCAGTAGCCTAAAGGTGAGAAGGGCAAGCAGGGCAGAACATCTATTTAATTAATTAGCTCTCTGATGAGCCTCGTGTTGACTCAGAATGTCACATGTCAGACACCATGTACAATCATCTCTGTCAGTGTGTGAAGACGTGAGGCTTTCAGCCAACCTGCTCCAGCATCCACTCTCCTTTTTGCACAGGTGGCTCACTATGTTAGTCGGCTTACTGCTGATGCACGTCGGATCCAATTATCATAACCGTTTCAACGAAAACAGAAAACCAACTATGATTATTTCTGTGAAGTTTATTTCTCACTTTTATTTGTTTGTTTTTCACAAAGGGATGATGCACTGAAAGCCACTCAAAATGGTAAATGGCCTGTATTTATATAGCGCTTTACTAGTCCCTAAGGACCCCAAAGCGCTTTACATATCCAGTCATCCACCCATTCACACACACATTCACACACTGGTGATGGCAAGCTACATTGTAGCCACAGCCGCCCTGGGGCGCACTGACAGAGGCGAGGCTGCCGGACACTGGCGCCACCGGGCCCTCTGACCACCACCAGTAGGCAACGGGTGAAGTGTCTTGCCCAAGGACACAACGACTGAGACTGTCCAAGCCGGGGCTCGAACCGGCGACCTTCCAATTACAAGGCGAACTGCCAACTCTTGAGCCACGATCGCCCCAAGAACCTTATTTCACCTCGCTGATTACAAATCGCTCAGGGTAATGACAGTGAGGGCTGAAGTGAGTTATAAATCCAAAGCAATGAGCTCCCCCCAATATTCTGATAATTCTCATTTTGAAGCTTTCACAGCTTTCTCTTACATTAAACATATTTGTACCTTTCACCTCACGTATTAAGTAACACAGTAATGCAGCCAAAAGCTGATATTGCACATTAGTGGTGCAAATTTTTAAACTTTGGTAACAAACGTGGATTGACTCAGAACAGCTGCCTGCTTTGTCCACTTAGTAACTGAATGCTGATCCTAATCGTATGTCTTGTCTATGACTTTCCACAGGAGTGACCAGCTGAATGTAGGAGACTACATCAAGTCAGTGAATGGCATCAATCTGTCAAAGCTTCGTCACGATGAGATTATCAGCCTGCTGAAGAACATTGGGGAGCGAGTTGTGCTGGAAGTGGAGTATGAACTGCCTCCATTTGGTAGGTGGTGTGTCTGATTCACAGTTTTAGCAGATGGAAAGAGTTGTGTGAGATGACAGTATGAAAATGCTTATCATTAATGCAAATTCTTTTTATTTTCAAATATTTGGTCTGCAGCCAAAAATCTAAAATGCAAGAACAGGAGCAAAATGTAGTTGCCTTTCAAAAGCATTCTTTATCCTGCTTATTATTAGTAAAACAGAGTATTTAGGTCAACACACAAAAACATGAAGAAGGTTTAAATTCAAAGGCTAGTTTGACAAGTTTTTAAATTCCTGAAAGGAAGGAAATGAATGATAATTGGCAAAAGTAAAGGAGAAAGATCTCTGGACATCCAAATGATGCAGGTCATGATGAGGACACTGCACTGCCAGAGGGCTCAGCCCTCACTTCCACACTCATCTGCACTGTGGCCTTTCTACATGTTTGGATCCAGACATCCTGACATCTTTTTAAAAGCAACCCACCAAATCAGCGCTTACTGAGAAATAAGTATTTCTGAACAGATGTTTAATGCTGATGCACGCGTGAAGCACAGCTGCTCTTAATGAATATTTCTGCTATATTAAAAGAACAGCCGTAACCTAAAACCTATCTGCCAAATCAGGCTCGGTTTGAACTTTCAGGATGAAAATCATCAAATCAATGCTTACTAGGTTTCTACGGGAAGCTGACCTGGTCCTCAGGCAGTGCTCTGTTTGCAAACCAGAAGGTCAAACACATAAAGTTATTCACCTATTACCAAGTAATCAACTTTCTAAATTCAACATTTCAGGTTATACTGGAATCAAACTTTTGACAAACCTTTTGTACTGCTAGTATTTATTTAATCATTTTGTCAATTCTGCTTTACTCTTAGTCCAGAACCCCTCAGGAGTCATAACCAAAAGCATCGAGGTGTGTTTACACAAGGAGGGCAACAGTTTTGGTTTTGTCATGAGAGGTGGGTGCCTAGAATGTTTTTCTCTGTTTTTCCAGTCCTTTAATACATATAGTTTTCCATTGATCTGTGTGCTCTGATTTTCTTTTCTTCCTTTCTGATTTGGGTCAGGAGGCTTCCATGAAGACTGGCGCAGATCTCGTCCTCTGGTGGTGACCAGCGTCAGGCCTGGAGGTCCGGCTGATAGGTAAGGATAAGGACACAGATATGGACAAAGATAGATGTCTACTGGAAACAGTGTTTATATCTTTAGGCTATATGCATTACAAGTGTAGCCATTCATGTTTCTTGCCTGCATTTTATGTCTTGAGAATGCATGAGTGAGCTTTTCACATTACTCTACGAATGCATGAATGCATATATCTGTACTGTGTATGTGTCTTTCCTAATAGACGTGTTTTAATAATTTACTATTAAAACATTTGCTGTTCAGGTGGAATTTGATTTTTAGGCCTTAGAATAATGCACCTAAAATAATGTTGAAACGATTTTGTATATGTGCGGCAGACTTTTTTGTTTCTTCCTCATTACCATATATTCAAGCCACTCTGTGAAACTGTGGCTTTGACACATACAGAGTATGTTATCTTCAAAGCAGAAAGGCCAGCGCTCATCCTGAGGCTAATGTAACATTGCACTTTTTTCCCACATGAAAACTGCGAGCACTAAACACTGGAGTGAACATAATTCACCGTCAAAGACTTAACGGTTGTTTATCTCATTTATCCTTCATCTCACCTGGGAGGAAACATTCATGTGGAACTGCTTAATCATCTACTGTGACTGGTGCACGATTGTAAAAGCATCTTATGCTGGTTGTTTATGTTTTGTTTTTTGTTCTTTGTTTATCCATCTGTGCTTCTCCAGAGAGGGCACTATTAAGGCTGGAGACCGAGTATTGAGCATAGATGGGATGCCTCTGAGCCGGGAGAGGCATGCTGACGCTTTGACCATGTTAATGCAGAGCGGCCAGGAAGCTCTGTTCCTGATTGAGTATGACGTCTCTGTCATGGGTGAGCACACACAAACACACACACAAACAGACACACACACACACAGGGAATATGTGGAGGCATATAGGGCAGCATTGCTCTGAGGGTAAATCATGTGGCCGTTTGGCTGTGTGGATCTGAGTGACTGTGTTGGAGACGGCCCGAGAGCACACTGGGAAAGGGGACGCGATTGTTTCATGAAAATGTGTTTGTCTGTTCCCGAACAATGACTGCTAAAAAAAAAAATTAAAAACATGTTGCTTTTTTGTACCATTTTCTTTCTAAATAAAAGTTGGAGCAAAAGGGAGATATTATATTGCATGTCCCCTAATCCTTGGTGATGCTATTTAAGGAGAAAAGATGGGAAGTTTTCAAAGCAGTGTATTGATTATATTGATTGTACTGATAGTATCAGTCTGTCCCAGTTATGTCCCTCTGCTATCCAACAACCCCAGTACCCTTAATAATCTGTTCACCTGCCCAAATGATATCAAATGCTGATATCAAAGCACACACTAAAAGCTGTTATAGCACAATGTTTCCCCCATAAAATAATCATTATTAGTTATTACTTTTTGTCTTTTGTGTGTTTTAAACAAGGTTAATAAGCACTTCTGTGATTTAGTGTTTATATTGATTTGGAGTGTTCATAATGACAGCTTACATAAATAAGTTGAAGCAGCAGATATCAGGATATCCTGACAAAAAATCCTGGATTCTACATTTCCCACAATGCACGTCTTTCACTCTTGGTCACATGACACGGTTTGTAATGGGTTTTAGTTGAGTCACCTTTATTACACCAGGATTATTTTCTCAGACTTGCAAAAATGGAGCTTGTTCAAAGCCTGCGTACAGCCTGTGGTCGTGTTCATACGCTGACTTTAGTGTGTTCCCTCATGATATTGTGTCTTTAAGTGAGTTATGGTTGGACTATAATGCAATAAATGGTACATACCACCATTATTTTTAGAAGTTTGGAATTGCAGTTTTATTTTGTTAAGCTCAGTTTAAAACAATAATGGAGTTAAAAAGGAAAACAAACAACAAAAAAACACCAAACATAAGTCAGCCTGAGGACACAAAAAGAATCCAGCACAACTGATATTCTACCAAACATCCTCTGTGTTGGGTAAAAAGTAGAAAGCTATATCTCTAAGTTCAGTAACACACTGCATGACTACAAACCTAATTATAACCTCAATGTGATCATAGTGACTAATTCTCAAGATTGCACACTCTGAACTGCTCAATGCAAAACAGGGCAGGTCACCAAGGACAGCTGACACATATTCACACATATCCTGTGTGTGGAATCTAAGGATTCAGACCTGCTGGCTCCAGATTCGACCAGCCACAGGATTCACAATTACAAGAAAAATACATTTAGGAATAAAACACTAAGATCTAGAATACACTGGTTGTGCTTTTTAAAATTCATTAAAGTTCCTTATTTGAAACATTGCTTAACTTTAATTATGAGCAATAAGTGTCACAACATTTGTCCTGCAAAGAAGATGTCACTCAAGATATTTAACTTCTTCGACATGACGGTATCTAAAATATGGGGTGTGTGTGGTTATCATCAAGACATGTGGAATAGAACTTGCCAAACAATATTAATGTCTAAATGCTTTGTTAACTAACAATAATGTCAATGTAAATTTTATTAATATTATTACAAGTGACCTCAGTGTGCTTCCCATATAAGGTAAAAACATTAAAAAAATATGGATCTCTACAATGTCTTAAGGTAAAAAGAACACAATTAAACTTTACAAGGAAAAACAGAACAAAACGCACAAACAGACACATGGTTATTAACCGTAAGCCTGTGACAACACAAAGATTTTGAGTCTGTTTTTGGATGTAGACACAGTTGTAATTGACCTCAGGTCAGTGGGCAACATGTTCCAGGAACTGGACCACAGCGACTGAAAGCACCCTCAGCACACACAGATCTAATTCTGGGAACAGTTAAGAGATCTGCACCTGATGACCTGAGAGCTCTAGTTGGGTTATTTACACTGAGCAAGTCAGAGATGTAGTAAAAGGCCAAAGCATTGGGAGCTTTTATGAACTAACAGAAGGACTTTAAAGGGAAGACTGTGTTAAACTGGCATCCGAGGAAGTGACTTCAATACTGGAGTTATATGTTCAAATGCTGCATTTTGGACAAGCAGAAGTTGCCACACTGATGATTTGGATAATCCGGCAAATACAGCACTGCGGTAGTCTGACCTGCTTGATATGGATGCATCCACCAATTTCTCAGAGTCCTGGTGACCTTATTAATATGATTATAAAAACTGAGGGAAAAAATATATTATTCCCAGCTTTTATCCCGTTTATAAACCTCCGCTTTTTAGAGGACAGCCAAAATCCTAGTGACTGAATGACAACAACAAAGAAAATAATGTGTGTATTTATAAAATGAACAAGTGTGCCACAGCGACTAACATCTGTAAGACTAAAAAACTAAGCACAGTGAGTTCATCCATTACTGAGTCAGGTTCTTTAGATGCATTCATTAACTTGGTTGATATTTCTCATATCTGTCTATATGAATGGTTTCAGAGGCAGTGCAGCAAGCCTCAGGCCCTCTGCTGGTGGAGATAGTGAAAGGCCCCTCTGCCAGCCTGGGGATCAGCCTCGCCACGGCAGTCTACAGGAACAAACAAGTTATTATTATCGACAAGATAAAAGCAGCCAGTGTGGTGGAAAGGTGAAACTCACTTTTTAAACAAATAATAGTACTGAACAGACAGCTTCCTGATAGAAAACTTCCTCACACCATCCACCTCTGTCTCACTTCTTTCAGGTGTGGAGCGCTGCATGTAAGTGACATCCTCCTGTCCATAGACGGGACCAGCACAGAGCACTGCTCTCTGATGGAAGCAGCACAGCTCCTCGCCAGCACTTCTGACATTGTCAAACTGGAGATTCTTCCAGCAAGCCAGAGCAGACTTCCCATCAGGCCGTATGACACAGGTACATCCTGCAGGTGGCGCAAAAAAAGCAGAGGAAGGCTCTTAAAGGTTATGGAGGAAAAGAGGACAGTAGTGACAGAGGAAGCTGTCTCAGATTAAAACAGGAGACAGGTTTTCTATGTCAGGACTGCAACAGGTGATGGACAGTGTTTCTTTTTAACGTATAAGTGCATTAGTTGCTTAGATCTATATCAAACAAGGCCAAAAACTTAAAAGATATTGAATTTTACAAAGAGGAAAATATTGAATCTCGACATCTAAAACGATAAAATCAGAATAAGCTTTTAAAGAAATTTCCAGCTGGCACACTTTAAGTTTCTGTGATCAAAAGAATTTATCACATGATTACTGTGGCTAAAGTCAGGCATGGTTTGCTCTTAGACTTCTAATGACTTTGATTAGAGCCCAGTCAATGAAACCCAGACAGGGAGATAAAGGTCAGCTTTAAGGTAATGTATGAAAATGAAACTTTCTAGGCCGGCAGACACAACTATTAAGTACCAGGAAGACAGGCAACTGATAAAGAAGAGGCAAGAACTTGTTTGGCAAAAGATCGAAAATAATATTAGCGGCTGGTAAAAAAATCTGTGGTAAAAAGTGGACATGTAGCAACTGTGATGTTTCTAAATACAGTTTGAAGCCTTGAGTTTGGCATTTTGGCCACTGATAAAGTTGTTTTTTAATTTTTTGTTTTTACCTTGACTCTTTGGAAGTGAGCTAAAGATAAAACTAGATTAATGTGTTATATACCAGGTTGTAAATTTTTGCTGTATTTCTGCTGTAAAGCTGGGCTTTTTAAACATAAGAGTCTAAGGTAAGCAACAACAAAAAAGGAGCCAGACCAATGCCAAAACTACTCAAACAGCCACCGAGGCCTGGCTTAAAAAGCAGGCCATTCTCCGTAAGACTTAGTGGATGTGGATGAGTAGTGCATCAGTGCAATGCAATAAAAATGTTCAGTGCAAATGATTCACACAGAGAAATCTCAAATAAGCGACCTGTCCCTTAATCACCACAGCACTGTGTGGAAATCCAGTGGATCCAGGATGCAGTCCTCACCACTTGTATTCTGCGTATTCCCGACAGCTCTAAAGAGCCTCACTGCTTCCCTGCTTACTTCCTCCATCCACTCTGAATTAGTCCGTGTATTTGTGTGTGCATACGGCCACAATCCCTCTGGCTTTGGGTACACACTCTGCCTCTTTGCATACCAACAAGCCTCACACAAATATACACACACACACACCCTTTCTCTGTCAGAGATCATGTTGTTGCCACGTTCTGCAGGCTTATTTCTGGGTCAGCAGCTGCAGGGACTCCTTAACATGTAGCCATTGGAAGAATCACAAAGCAACAAAAGGGAAATGAGCCACAGTTATTTCACTTCTTTCTCTTCTTTTGCTTGGTCTGGTCTGCAGTGCTTTTCTTATATATATATATTTTGGTTTCTTCTAATATGTTTTAAAAATATTTAATCGTCTAAACAGAGGAAAGAATTTGGATATTTTACTTTAAAGATACCTATGTCACACTGAAATGATTGAATTGATGAAAATGATTATATATTCTGCTTTATTCTACATATGAGATTATGTATGTATTCCATATCGTAATAAAGTGCAGAGTAAATGTAGCTTATCTTGCCACTACTAATGTTTATCACTACGGCGCAAATACATGTGACATGGATGAATACTGTCAAGGCTGAAATCCCTGAACTGTAATCAATACAGCATCTCAACTCAAATCACAGCAGGGTATCGCTTCCCTATAAATTTACGGGCACATCTTATTAAATTTCAGTTCACTCATTTATCTGGTTTTGAAGGAGGCGTTGTGGTGTTACGATAGCACGCAGCTTTTTCACAGCTTCTTCCCCCTCCAGGATAAGACGTGATTATAAGATGCAATTTGTCTAATCTGCTCTGGGGATTTAAGAAGACTGATACGGCCACTAAGAAATTAGGCGTTAATGTTTCTTTCCACCAGTGTGGAATGAAAGCACCATCTCTTGGAGAGATTCCCCTAGGTGAGCTTAATATAAGCCAGCCGAGCCAGAGCTTTTCAGCTCTTTTGATTGAGTCAGATAGAAAGTAGTTTCCTGAAAAGGGCCAGAGGTTTTCCTTCATGTATTGTTCAACCAAATTCTCAGAGTATGGCAACATCTGAAGCGCAACTGTACTCATCCATGTTTCCAGCAAATCCTCATCTATGAGAGCAAGTCGTCAGAGATTAGACGCCTCCAGACGAAGCAGCAAAGATTACTGTCACGTGTAGCATTTTTTTGACACATTTAGCTGAGTTAATCTGTTTAAATAAAGTTAATTATTGAGGTGTGTGTCACACAGCAGGTCATCTGCTTCCCTTTGAATGCCTCATGAACACAGCTTGATTGACTACTCGGTGTTACATAGGCTCTGGCATCAGGGATAAGATGACTTTCAGCGTAAACAACAAGCTTAATTTCTTAACAGAAACACCCAAAAAAAGAGAAAAGAATTACAGCAGACCATATAGACTGACAATCAGATGCAGAGACAGGCACTCTACATTTACACCAATCAAGCTTTCAGCTGCACTCAATCAAGGTCAAGCCACATGCTTCCACAGCTAGCGTCACTTCCTTGCCATGTCCAGCAGTAGTCCGATTTCTCTTTTTGCACCTTTAGACTTTTTTGAAAATGAATGTAGAAGAATGATCTTCAACTTGAAATCATCCCTTTGGAAGCTTGCTACTAAGAGTAAGGATTTCATTTTAGATTGTAGATCGCTTCTCATAGAGCGGTGTGTTTCGAACTGATTTTCAGACGCTCAACAAAATACATTAAACCACAGGATTTAATCTAGCGTGCCATGACGAACACATTAAATATCAATTACTCTGCTCTGAATGATCCTTCCAGGCTCTGTGTGGTATGGTATAAATTTAGACATGGGAATGAAAGTGTGATTTCATGGGCAGAATTTTTAAAAATGTGGAAAACGGAGACGCGCCGCTGCTTCATTCATTCTGTCGGTGTGTTTTCCTCCTTGCTGCTTGCAGTAAAAGTGCAGAAAAGCAACCATCATCACTGGGACCAAAGCGGCAACTACTGCCATCCCCCACATGCCAGCCACAGCAAGACATGGAGCAGCCCAAGCCACCCACACAACCAGCAGGACCACTGCAAATGTAAGTTATCACTTGTGACAGCACTGCTGCTGGCAAGACACCACAGCAGGAGCCCTTTCTTCAGCATGATTGTTAAATCTTTTTTCCAAGAGGTTTACCCCAACACTGGTTTCTTTCTTTTGTTGCATGTTCCAATGGTGCTGCTGTGGATGATGAATTTAGAGCTTACTGTACCAGCCTTTTGATACGTGTTTCCTTTCAGCTCTGGTGAGTGGTGGCTTCTCCCCTTCCTCCACAGCCACCTCAGGCTTCAGCAGCCAGGGTAGCAACACGCTACCCTGCCCCATCCTTCCCATCACTCCCACCAGCCCTCGGAGCTCCACCGGCAAGAGGAGGAACAGAAAGAAGGACCACAAGAGCTCATGTATAGCAAACCACCTTCTTTTTCCTCTTTCCCCTCCAAATTAAAGGCTTGGTTCAGTTCAAGTATTTTCTTATTTAAAACTGTTTTAATCAGGTTGTGCAACTTTTTTTGGTTCCAGAAGCGCAAGATATACACCTTACCAATGAATTGGGTACAACTAAGCTAGTAATTTGTTGCAGGACTCTTAGATTACAGGGAGGGGGTTATTGATTCAGCTCTATGGTCATTTGGGGGCAGCTGTTTGCTGTAAAGTGTCAAAATTAGTGTTTTGTTATTTGAGTGAACTGAGCTTTTAATATGCAAGCCACCTTTTTAGTGTTTCACCCTGTTTGTGTGTGTGTGAACAGATTTGACTGATTGCTGACGTAAGCATGACTGACATAAACTCTGATTAAGTGACTCATTCCCTTCCCATGTCATCTCTGTGGGCGCACGTCTTTTCCCCTTAACCTCCTCCCTGTCTCCCACAATCCCTTTCTTGCACTATTTGTCTGTCTCTGATGTGTCCCCTCCTTCCCTCCCTCCTCCTCCCACAGTATCTTTGGCATCGAGCTCTGTCGGCCCGGGGGGACAGGTTTTTCATGTGGAAACGAGCGAGGTCATCCTGAGGGGGGATCCACTCACAGGTTTTGGGATCCAGCTGCAGGGAGGTGTCTTTGCCACAGAAACCCTATCCGCTCCCCCGGTCATCCGCTTTATTGAGCCCGACAGCCCAGCTGAGAGGTAACGCAATGAGACGCCTAACAAGTAAACACACATCATGTAGGCAGTCACCTTGAACTAGAGTGCCTTATTGTTAATTATTCACAATGACCTGCCATTTGTGGGGGGAAGAAAGCCTGATATCTAAATGACAAAGAAATCACCCCTAAATTCTCCTATTCAATTTCTATACAGGATGCATTGAGATTTTATATACTTGCCATCACTGACAGGATCAACAACAACTATGTGAATAGTTGGCAAACACCAAAAGCTGAGGCACAGGTTTCCATGGTCAATCGGCTCCTGTACTTTTGCCCATATAGTGTAATTTACAAGACAGATATTTGAGTTTTGAGCATCTTCTTGGCAAGGTTTGAAGTTACCAACAAGTTCATGTTGGAAGTATTACATGTCAGATTAAGTTTGCACATTTTTGATTGGTTTGTTGGTTTTTGTGTGAGATGTTTTGGAGATATTGCTGCATGCATTTCGCCCTTCCCTTGAATATAAAGGTAGTAACTGATCATTCCTGTGGTACTCTATCAGCAGCAATGTCTATTTCCAGAAGTCAAACCCACTCAGTGAAAAATCCCATAAATCTCCACTTAAAAAAAGAGGCGTGTGGCTGGCCAAGATTACAGCGCTGCTGAGGGTTCAACCATTAATATTTACATTACATTACAGCTGTGTTCTGTATTGACCAAGACTCTGTGTTGCAGTCTAATTAACACGCAGCTCAGATGTGGCCAACTTGTAGTAGGGCTATCTATTGTTGTTGTGGTGCAAGATTAATGATGGTGTCTGCTGGCGGTGCAGGGCTGCCTCCCCTGGGTGTTGTAACATGATTAGTCCAGCAGCAGTTGGACAGGAGTGACTCAAGTACAGCATCTGACTGTGATGCTGTTGTCTCAACCTCCCCACAAGGTTAATGAGCAGCGGTGGTTAGTGAATTAATATTAGCTGACAGGGCCTCTGCGTTTGAACTCACAATTTAAATGTGTTATATTTTTTTTAATTTTTTTTTTCTCCTTCATACATTTTTGCGTGCGGAGGTAGTTTTAAAGTTCACAAAAGGGCAGTTTTGTGAATGTGTTCATGTCGAGCCTCGGGCCTGCATTTCATGTTATGGATGGCATTTTAAACATTCACACTATTTGACATGTGGTGTTAAAGTACATGACACAGTGTGGCTCATCAGAGTTTCAAACGTGCCTTGCTTATGTTAAATGGATGCTTCCGATTGCTTTAGATTTTGGTGTGTGTGGTGATGTGTTTGGGATTCATTGTTACCTCCACTCAGTGGAGACAACATGGTAAAAATTAGGGGTGCAACAATACTCGTATCAATATTGAACCGTTCGATACAGTGCTTTCGGTTCGGTACGCATATGTATCGAACAATACAAAATTTGTAATTTATTTTATCAACTTTCCTTCTGACGATGCTGTCTGTGTTGAGCGCTCAGTGAATCTGCGTTCGACTACTCCGCCTAGGCTGCACTGTCGAGCGCAGATCCACTGAGCGCTCAACACAGACAGCATCGTCAGAAGGAAGAGCGCAGGGCAAGCTAGCGAGACAGAAGTTAAGCTCTCCTTGCAACATGGCAAATTGAACCTCATTCAGATCTGGCGTTTGGAATTATTTTGGTTTTCATGTGACGTATGACCCTGAAGGTAAGCGGTCATGGACTAAAGTAAAACAGTATGTTGGATGTGCCACGCAATGCTCAATTACATGGGTGGGAACTAGTGTGTTAGCGCAGTTAGCTCGTTAACGTGTTGGCCGTCTAGCCCCAGCACGGGGCGATCGGGGTAGCTCGTTAACGGAGATTTGCCGTGTTGTGGCGTTAACGTCATTTCAACGAGATTAACGCTGACAGCACTAGTGGGAACACAACGAATATGACTGCACATTTACGCCGACATCATCCTAGTGCAAAGACAAGTGGAAGCAGACAAAAACAACAAGCATGCTATGCTACAAACTTTACCCGAGTCATTTAGACAGCCGTTAGCACATGATTCTCCTTATGGGGACCTGATATGTTTAATATTGTGGCGAGCTCAGACAAGGTGGAGACGGAGGTGTCGTTTGGTCTTGCTTCCCGTGAGCTAGCCAGGGAGCACAGCCGTTTATTGACATCTGCAGAAGAACACTGCCGCTAGCTAACTGCTCAGCGCGGCAACCGCACAGCAACAACAACAACACACAGGGCGCCCTCTGACCCCGGAAGGACACACCGTCGCAGCGAGAGGGCGTCACCCGTCACTATGGCAACATAAACAAAACATAACTGTACAAACAGAACCCCGAACAGCCCTGACCCGCTACATAGCCCCCACCTAAGGGGTCAGTCGTCCCCGACGACCCCATTACCCCACACAAAGTCCTGCAAATGTCCAGGTGCCTTCTTTTGGCGCACCGGCCGGTCACGACCGGCGGGGGAAAAGTCACTCGGGTCAGAACATGGGGTGCCACCATCATCCCACTTCTGACACCAATGTGGCGAGCTCAGACAAGGAGGAGACGGAGGTGTCGTTTGGTCTTGCTTCCCGTGAGCTAGCCAGGGAGCACAGCCGTTTATTGACATCTGCAGAAGAACACTGCCGCTAGCTAACTGCTCAGCGCGGCAACCGCACAGCAACAACAACAACACACAGGGCGCCCTCTGACCCCGGAAGGACACACCGTCGCAGCGAGAGGGCGTCACCCGTCACTATGGCAACATAAACAAAACATAACTGTACAAACAGAACCCCGAACAGCCCTGACCCGCTACAATATGCTGCTGAGAATATAGCCCAGAAGAAGCGTATAGTATAGCTTTTATTTTGGAAAGAGCCATTTCTCTGTAATAAACTCTCTTTTCCAAAGATGAGTGATTCCTCAATCAGATACAGGGCTCGCAAAATCGCTAGCCCGACGTCCCGGGGCTAGCGATTTTTCCAGTCGGGCTACCAAAATCTATCTCTGCCCTGCCCGTCGGGCTATTGTAGGAAGGAAAAATATATGTCAATGCTTTTGCATTCTTTCGGAAATGTAGCTGGGTAATTATGTCATTGGCATCGTGAGCCACTGTCAATATGTGACATATTGAAATCGCGTTTGAATTTGCGCTTGTTTTTTTGCTTTCACTTTGCAATCGCGCGAACTGTGTATAGAGAGCGACAGCACTGATTGGTGAGTGATGATAATTTGCGCACCAATTCCTCTGACATCGTCTTATCAATCGTTAGCTTACTATGCAAACATGACAAGTGAAATCTCCCGCAGCAAGCTTAAACATGTGAGAGGTTGATCGCGCAGAGAATCGCTGAGCTTATGTGAGTGCGTGTGTAAAAGCAGCAGGATATATATTTTAGTTCTGCTGAGCCAAATAAGACAGGTCAGGGTGAAGAAGTGACAGCCAAAGAAAAGCTTACCACAAAAGGAAAAGTTATGACAAATCAGACTATAAGGCAAAAAGAAAGTGCAGCTTTATGGTTTCATGGACAAAAGAATTTCTGTGGCTGCAATATGACGAGCTATATAACCAGGGCTGCACATAAGTGGTCCGCAGGTGCGCATTCGCTGTCAAAATAAAAAAAAAAAAACGCGCACAAGATATGAAGTTGCAACGCGTGTTTGCTACATAAGATTTTCTGGAGGAGGACAGACATTTGTTTAGAACTCTTAAAGATGTCGAGAAGCAAGCTCCTTTAAGCAATTACTTTGGTGTTCCTCCACCTCCAAAAAATGTCAGAAGGAGTCCGAACCACAAAAGAAGCGCGTATTCTCGGAAAAGTGGTTGCAGGAGGTGAGCTGGCTTCAAACAAATGATGAACGCACAGAGATGTGGTGCGGAATGTGCCGTGAAAATCCCACTCTAGCGGACAAAAACAGTGCTTTTTATATGGACGCAAACGCGCGTTGCAACTTCTTATCTGGTGCGCGTCTTTTATTTTGACAGCGAATGCGCACATGCGGACCACTTATGTGCACCCGTGTAAATAACATAATGTTCTGCCGGGTGTGTTGTTGGTTTTCTCTCGATTTCTGAGTCGACAAGCGCCTTTGTTACTGGGACCAGTCATTTTAAGAAAGGCCCCCATTAGAACCCATGAGAAATGCAAGAAATGCATTATTGCTCAGTCTGCAATATCTTTCCCAGAACAAACACCAATTGCAAATAACATACTAAAAATAAACCTGAAAAATCTGTTTAGAACAGCGTACTATGTTGCAAAGAGTGAACTACCACTGGCAAAATTTAGCAGTCTTTGCAAACTTCAAAAAGCAAATGGCCTAGATCTTGGTTCCACTTGTCTCTTACCCGTGACTTCAGTGGAAATTTCAAATTCAGGATCTGACACAGACTGATTCATGTCCTACACAGTTCTTACAAGTTCATAGAAATTTCTGTTCAATTAGAACCAAGTATTTGAGTTGATGATTGTAATTTTTATACAATGTTGTAATTTGTTTTTCAACAATTTTTTGATTAATGTTTTGTTTACATGACCTCAGGCACCTCCTGGGGATGTATGATTGGTGCTTCTCCATGCAGAGCTCTAAAAGTAAAAACCAGAATATTAAAGTGAACACTGACGTTAAGGGGGATCCGCTGGACCTGAATTAGGAGACTTGGTTATAAACCTGCTGAAATGACACATTTTAAGACAAACAATGATTTGATGAGTGTGACACGATGAAGCTCAACATGGCAACAGATTTGAAGTTATTTAAAAGCAGGAGCAAACCTGAAACTGAATGTGAGCATCCAGAGTGAAGGCTAAGTCAAAGGTTACCCAAAGGTTAGGTTTCACATAGGTTTGGCAGATATGGCAACAGGACCTAGATTGCCCGTGACCTTTGGGACAAATCTGACAGGGCCAGAAACAGACTTGTTTTTCCCTTCACTGAGGTGAAGAAAATTGTCAGCCATGTCTAAGCAACATCTGTAGATTTGTCCTGTTTAAAATAACGTTAGCTCCTGTTTCCCCCTGGTAATAAAAAAGAACATTTAAGATTGTCATAAAGGGAGGATTTATTTCAGGACGGTTGTATTAGTTTGAACTAAAAAGCTGATATTTTGTCATTTGTTCTCAGGTTTCTCTGGTTTTAAAAACATAACTATCACACTCTTGAGAACACGACAACCTTTTTCTTTTTCTTCATTTAAAAAAAAAACACATTTTCAAACAGTTATGGGCAGAAAGTGCAATTAAAATCTGTTCTTTTCATATTTGTGTGTTTTGCTGCGTGAAGGTGTGGGCTGCTGCAGGTTGGCGACAGATTGTTGTTCATTAATGGGATCCCAACTGAAGATGGCACTTTGGAGGAAGCTCATCAGCTGCTCAGAGACTCTGCTCTGGCTAACAAGGTCACACTGGAGATCGAGTTCGATGTTGCAGGTATTGCACAGGAACAGTAACTTCATATTGTGAAATCGTATAAGCTTTTCCATTTTCCCTTTTAACGTTGTTCTAAATCTCAATCAGAGTCGGTGGTTCCCAGCAGCGGCACTTTCCATGTTAAACTCCCCAAACGGCGAGGGATGGAGCTGGGCATCACCATCAGTGGTGGGTTTGTTGAATGCGAGACACCCAGAAGGGGGCAGTGTTGCTCAAAATGTTTGCATATTGAAACTCTCCCGTGAATCAATGTTCTGTGATCCATAAAAAGGAGAGAGGGGGGAAAAAAAGGCATGAAGCTCATACCTCATTACCTCTGAATAATACTGGCCTGTACCAACAGTCATCATTACCCTGTCTACTCTAACCATCTTTAAACAAAAAAAGACACAAGCAGGAAGCTGACATTGACAGGGCAACCAAACGAAAAGGAAACTAAGAGACTAAAGTGCTTAGTTAGTTAAACTGGTTTAATCGTCATATCTTGCTGCCTGAAATGTCAAAAAAATGTATTCTGTTTTTAACAGCGAGTAAAAAACCTGGCAAGCCCCTCATCATCTCTGACATCAGAAAAGGAAGCATTGCGCACAGGTATGTGCTGTCATCATGTTGAGCTCATAATGTTGAATGATTTATTAGTCCAGCTTTTTCAGGGCTGGGTCATACTGATTTTTTTTTTTTTTTAAATAGAAGTCAAACTTCTAAGACTTCTCAATACTTCAGGGTGATCTAGGTTTTCTGGGGTTAGGTGGGATTATTCATTACAAAATTACATTTTGTCTATCCACTATATAACAAAAGCCTAATTGGATTGAGGTATAAAAACTGGATCAGTAGGCCACAGCAACTTCATTTCAGAAGGGCTCAGTGTTGAGTAGGCTGAGGGTGAGGTTACGGTCACCCCCAAGGATCCCACTGAGACATGAAGCTAATAGGATTCTGACAGTGAGTCGGGAGGAGTGGCCGGTCCCAGTTTAACAGTTGTGATCTTCTTGCTCTTGGGTCCTGCAGAACAGGCACTCTGGAGCCCGGAGACCGGCTGCTGGCCATCGACTCGGTGCGTCTGGAGAACTGCACAATGGAAGACGCGATGCATGTCTTGGAACAAGCAGAAGATATGGTCAAACTCCGAATCCAGAAAGATGAGGACAACATTGGTACACGAACCATTTAAAATACATTGCACTGTCGGAGATTAAACCAGATTATCCCATTAGTTGTTTGGTTTAATAGGGGTCCTGGTTTGATGTCAGATATTTGTCAGTTGGTCGCCCTCTAAACCTCTCGGGTGGTTTCATTTATTAATAATTAAAAAAAAAAAAAATTACAAGTGCTCCAGTTTATAAGAAAGTGAACCTGAAGAATAAAGGTCTCGACCCACTGTGTGAACCAGCGCATGACTACAGAGGCTAACTGTTACCCTTATCTAGATCAGGAAACTCTTTGGTGCATGCAGGCAACCTCTCAAAGATTTGGGGTCACTTTGAAATGTCATTGCTTTGAAATGAAAAGCAGTTTGTTTCTGTTATCTGTGACAATAATATTGACCACACAGGAAATGACAATGAGTCTTGTCAGCAGTGAAGAGGTGACTCGGTGACGATTATGGCCTTCAAGGCAAGCAAAAAGGATAAAAAGGCCATTTGTCATTCTCCGCCAGTTATCTTAATCTTTTTACTTTATTGGCCAGTGTCAACATTTCTCTCAAACTCATGTTCCACATTTTCATGGATCATTAGTTGTTGCTCATGAAATACTCGATCGGTTTTATGCTAGATTTACAAAAGCAAACAAACATAAAAATGTGGTTTCATTTCATAAACAACAGTTGAGTGACCTCAAACTCTTCTGTGGTGCATTTCTGGAAAAAAGAAGCTCGTGTCTCACATACCCAGAGCCCGTGCTGGCTGACTGGTTCTTACACTGGAAAAGTTCCAGTTTTAATATTGTACGGTTTAATTTTTAATGTGAATACTTCCTATTATCAGTCGTTCTTTTCATAATTTGTTTTAAACAATTTATTGTAAGTCTTCATATCTTGAGTGTACATTATCCTCTGTCCTTGCATGCTGTAGATGAGTTGGAAATGTCAGGCTCCATAATCTACACAGTGGAGTTGAAGAGATATAACGGACCACTGGGCATCACTATTTCTGGCACAGAGGAGCCCTTTGATCCCATCGTCATTTCTGGCCTCACCAAGAAAGGCCTGGCTGAGAGGTGAGTGAAGGGCAGGGCGTGACATGTGGAGCTGCAGAGGGGGTTCAAGGTAGTAGTACAAGAAAATGGTGCTGCATTGACCTTAAGCCAGGTCATCTCTTGAGTTGCCTCTTTCTTTCTTCCTTTTTTTTTTTTTTTTTTTTTTTTTCCTAATAAATGAGACAGTAAACAATGGCTGGCTAGTTTGGTTTTTTTGTTTGTTTTGTTTTTTCTGTAACAAGACGCCTCTTTGTTTCTGTCTGGGTCAGCATGCTGGCAGCCTGACAGCTCTCCTGGCCATCTCTGTTGGTACTGTCTGGTAGATCTCTGCTTCATCTGCTCTTCTAAATCTGCAGGACTGGAGCCATCCATATAGGGGACAGAGTCCTAGCCATCAATGGTGTCAGCCTGAAAGGAAAGCCACTGAGTGAGGCCATTCATCTCCTGCAGATGGCCGGGGAGTCAGTCACCCTCAAGATCAAGAAACAAGCTGATCGTATATATTTTTTCATTTGCTTTTCATTGTTGGGGGAAGAGAATGAACCAAATTTTACTTTAATCGTTTTATGGATCTGAGACATTATTCCTAAGTAGATCCTTTATTTTTTTTTAAAAAAAAATTCTGGGGCTTTTAAAGTCCCTCTTTGCGTGAAGCAAATTCTTTTCAAATCTTTACAAAACACCTTGTTGGCAAAGGAATTAAGAGATGAGGGACACAAAAAGCAGAAAATAAATGCTTCTGCTGTGGAAGTGTTGCAGTGTTTTACTCAGGTGGTGTGAAAAAGTGCACATCTTATTTCATGCCAGCTCACTGTCCATTCCCAGAGTCTGACGGCCGGCGGCCTTTAGAAAGAGAAGCTGCGTTTTTGAGCGACACAGAGGATGATCTGACAGACTCCCAGAAGACCAGTAAACACTCAGAGCTCTACTCTGCCACTATACCCAGTATAGACTCTGCCATGAGCTCCTGGGATAGCTCGGGGTTTGATGCAGGCTACAGTAGCCAAGGTGAAATCTAATGTTCACGAGCAGTCTTCAGATAAACCACATTCTCCTGCACATCTAATGAGATTTTTTTTCCCCCTTCTCTTCATTTAGGGACATATCTTCACAAAGGATCCGATATACTGCTCAACCCAAATGAGTGGAGGCGCACAAAGCACAGGAGCCAAACCACTTCCAGTTCTGCAGGCCTAGTCCACCACACCTCATTGTATGATGGGAGATTCACAGAGGATGAGTGGGACAAGATACCTGGGTAAGTACAGAGGCCCTGAGGTCCATCCCAGACATTTAGTTTGGTGAATGTCTGAGGGTGGGTGATGCTGGTGCAGTTGAACAGGGACAGCATTAAACACAGTATTAGCAAATAAAATTTAAAAATCAGTATTTTTAACTGGATGAATCTGTCAGGACTGGCTTTGTGTGTGTGCAATTTGTCAGGTTGCAGCTCAAATATCCTTATTCAGTAACATGACAACACTCAAACCCACCTCATCTGTCAAACGTGCAGTTGTTTTTGCTCTTGTGCTGCGTGGTCACACACCTTGGTGGCTTCTTGTTTCCAACATCTTTGTCAGTTTAGCTTTAAGTGGTTTTCTTAATTCAATAATATGTTGTATAAGCAAACTCTCCTGTGATGTTTCCTTTCCCTGATCGTTAAGGTCACTGACAAAAGTGCATTCTGGATTATTTTGTCATTTTGTGTTGTATGCCTTCATGTTTTTGTGCTTTTTCCAAACTGTCCTTTTCTCTTCTTTCTCAGGTATTCTCTCTCTCATCTGCTTTACTAACTGCCCACAAGCTCTTTGGTGTTTCACATGTGTACATCTTTTTCTGTCACCCCTGTCCGTATACCAAAAAAAAAAACAGTTTCCTCAGAAAAACATCCAAAGAGCCCAAGGATCAGCCTTATCTGTCTCGTCACACTTCTTCTTCTTTTTTTTTCTTTTTCCCCCTGAACTTTTATGTCATGTGCTTTAGATTTCCTGCTTTTTTGGGGGGTGACGTCACTTTGTGAATTTGAAGTCTTTATCTTATTCTAATGGACTCCTGCGGCTTTTGAGCTGTTACAAGAGAAAGATTTTACATTAAACCCTCACTGTGGTCCTGAGAGATTCTCAGAAGGACTCTTCAGCTTTGCAGCCCCAAAAAAAACTGCATTTCCCATGCTGCCTTTGTATGCAGCACCAACATCCAGACTGCAGGACTGCTCTCATGCTTTGGTTCCTGCATTGTCATAGATTTGTCAGCCCCCCTCGTTGCCATGGCACCCTGAACCAGGAAGACAGCTTCTGGTCCCAGGCTCTGCAGGACCTCGAGACCTGCGGCCAGTCAGAGATTCTCAGGGAGCTGGAGGTAGGCCCGCCTGTTATCTCCATCCCCCTTCTGTTTCAGTTTCCTCTCTAGCTTTGTCCTACTTGTGTACTCTCAGACTTGCATTGGCCTAAATGAACATGCCAGATGAAGCATTACGACAACCATCATCGCTATAATCTGTTATTAAATCTGACAAGGCAAGCTGGGCACCTGCTGCCATGCTGACTGCAGAAGGCTTTTGCACAATGCCTTGGCCTCTAATCTATGTGTGTGAATCTAAATAAGTCTTTGTTCCTTTTAAATCATTTATTTTTTAAAACAAATGTTCTAATAATCCCTCTCTTGTCTTTCAGGCATCCATGACGGGTAGCGCTCTTAGTCTGTACCTAGATGAGACCAAAACAAATGAAGACTCAGTGTTTCCCTCTGAAATAAGTCCAATCAAGAGGGAAGGAAGCCATGGAGAAACTATAAACAAAAGCAAACTGAACATGTCAACTGGAGCCGGAGATGTTTCATCCAGGGTCAAAGGCGACAACTCTGAAAATTTGCTCCCTACAGCTCTGGCACTGCACAAGGTGACAAAAAGGGTCATGAAATAATTATTTAATTTGAAGAAAAAAAGTTATTCTTAAAGCTGTACAGTAATTACAGGTTGCGCGTGTGTGTGTGTGCGCCTCGTGTCGTTGTCGTCGTTGTTTTCGTTGTTTTCGTCCCAGCCTTTCTTGCCCCATAGAAAGTTTTGACACTTGTTGTTGCCATCATATTAAAAATTTGCTATTTTTTGTGAAATTGTAAAATGTTTAAACATTAGAAATGTTTTGTATCCTCTACTGTGAATAAAATACAGGTTTGTGAGATTTGCAAATCATTGCATTCTGCTTTTATTTGCATTTCACACAGCATCCCAAAATTTGTGGAGTTTGGGTTGTATGTGAGAGATCAGCTACTCTAACTTTGGATATCTCCTCACACGTTCTGGTACATGAGACAATTTTTCACGAAAATCAAAGTTTAAATACAGTATCTCAAAGACTTTGCATTTACAAAATTAATACCTACATTGGTATCTTGTGTGTTATCCGATTTGCAGGTTTTAAACTTGAGCTGTAGTAATAGGCCTGCCAGTGCACGCACACTTGACGAACATGGAACAGCATGTTCTGTAAAAATCGGTGTGTAAAAGGTGTTTATCTCTTCTACGTGACTTACCTCGTCGGGACTGGCTGTTGAGACAAATTCATGTGATGCTTTACCTGAGCATCTGTGAAACTTGTGACTACACGTCCACTGAGAAGTCTGTTTGGCGTCATATGTGCATCGCACCATGACTGGGAGTAATAGAGGGCATCAGTCCTGCAGTGTGGAAATTAACAATATTTTTAGTTGACACAACCTATATGCTATCATGGAAAAATCACCAAGTACAAGCTTAAACCTGCTTTATTTGGTTATGGTTAAAGCTGCCGACCTTGTTTTAGGGAACATGGAAATTGAGAAACAAAGAGCCATGTGGCTGTGGGCATTGTAATTGTTTAGTCTTTACACAGGGAGTGGACACAATAAAAGACACAATGTACAGTCCAGAGCCAGGTCAGCTGTTTAAACTAGTTTCCATTCTTAAGTTATTGTCGGGTGTCCGGTTGCTTAGTTTAGCATTATGTACAAACAGAAAATGATCTCATCTAACTTTTTGAAAGGCAGTGCTTAATGCCAAGTACCAAAATATCTTTCAAAACGTTTTCCAGAGAAGTGATCACCAAGAAACAATAGCTTTTCCGTGTCTCGTTCAGACACTCTACTTTGATGTTTCCCTTTTCAAGAAAATGTTTAATGTCAAAGTCGCCTTATGACTCAACCGTCAATGTCAGACCTGAGTTGTTTGGTTGGGGGTGGGGGGGGTTGTTACCTCTGCTTCACCTAAAGGCATACAAATATTTCTGTAGTGTTTTATTTTTCTTCACAAAAATGTATAGCTGGAGTACATCTTTCAAAGCCAATGAGGAAAAAGGTTCCAAATGCTGAAGAATGTTTTATCTATGACTGCAATTTGCCCTCTGTTTATAGGTGACTATAAGAAAGGATCGCGAAAGCTGTGACTTTGGTTTCAGTGTGTCAGACGGGCTGCTGGAAAAGGGTGTCTACGTGAATATGATCCGGCCTGATGGCCCAGCTGACCAAGCAGGGTTGAAACCTTTTGACCGCATTCTTCAGGTACTGTTTGCCTTTACAAAAAGGAAAGGGGGGGGGAAAAAAGTTTCACATGCTGGAAAATGCATTTGTTTTTTTTGGGTTTTTGCAGCAAGTTGGGTGAGAACACTGAGACGTTTCATTTACACTCACCAGCTGCGTTGTTAGATACACCTTGATTATTCAGTCCTGCACCCCACTCTGCAACTTCTCTCTTCCAGTGATGCCCCCAAAACCCTCCATAGTGACCATGTCTGCTCCCAGACCGTCAAAAAATAAACCAAAAATCTGCAAATAATGTTTTAAGCATAAAAATTCACAAACGACAAATTCACAGCAAGGTGAATATGCTTAAGTGAATCACTATCGAATCAAAGCACAGGCCAGAGAGGAGTGGCAGCAATTTTTCATTCCAGCTTATTGACTAGCCAAAGACACACAGTCATCGGAAAGCAACACTCTTGGGATTAGAAACATGACGTGGCATTACCTTGACCTCCAGTAACACTGTGAGGAATCCTGAAGTTGTTTTTGATGAGGATTTGCTGTTCAAGGCTAATATTTTAAAAAAGGAAAAAAAAAAACAGGAAAAAAAAGCTTGTCTTCATATTAAATTCAGAATTAAACTTATAATCTTTCTCCACGTGCAAGGTCACAAATACTCCCATTTTATCCTAAAGATCTCCTAGTGTTATGTCACAGCAAAAGAGTGCTTATAGTTGCTGGGGTATTTAAAAGTAGAATGAGAGGCAGAGCCTTCAGCTTTCAGGCCTCTCTTCTGTGGAACCAGCTTCCAGTTTGGAATTTGGGAGACAGGGAAACCACTTTACTTTAAGCATTAGGGGTGGATGAGGTCACCCTGAAACCTCCCTCAGTTACACTGCAAAAGACTTAGGCTCCTAAGGGATCCCACTGAGTGTTTCCTCTTTACTCTGTTGCTACTGTTTATACACCACTTTGCATTTCATCATTAGTTGTTTTTATGAAATAATAGCTCTCGTCCACCAAATGACTCTTTCAGGGAAAAGAAGTGTGTACTGAATAGTAAAAGAACTGGTTGTCATTTCCCAGGTGAACCGTGTAAGGACCAGGGACTTGGACTGTTGTCTAACTGTGCCCTTAATTATGGAGGCCGGAGACAGCCTGGAATTGGTCATTAGCAGGAATCCACTGGCAGCAGCAGACGCAGAGCTGCCAAACGACTGTGACGACCCCTCAAACTCACTGTTCTGCTTCCCCAACCACGGGAACAACATAGTTGCCCTCTGACCACAAAGAGAGATTCTAACTCTGCAGTGTAGGGGACCTCTCTTAAACACACACATCACGTGGTTAAACCCGTCACATTGTACCTCTCAGACACACCTTCACACTCATTTTCAGCACTCAGTGCGCATCCACAGATTCGACCACTTTCTTCCCCTGAAAGCATCGCTCTCTGTCTCACAAAGTCACAAGTGCATGTGTTCACAATTGCCAGTTTTAGTCACTGTGTTCACATGATGCAGTTCAGGGGAGGCTCTGGCTTAAGGGCAGACTCCCCCACCCATTCCACCTCCACAGGCAAAGCCACATGCAGGCTTATATAACAGGGGAGTCATAGTGTCTGACGGAGCCAGGATGTCAAATACACAAGCCTCGGTTCTAGAGAGGCTCGAATGCTCATTGCATTCACTGCACAAGTTACCGTTTTCTTTAATAGGTTTTCTCATTCAAGGACCAAAAACCTAGCTCTGTATTTCATTTACACATTTGCAAATAGAAGCCCCAAATGCAGTATTTCATGTGCATGTAAAACAGTCATACAGAGACACAAAGGTGCGAGTAGGCTCGAGATTCAAGGAATGTTGCACCTATTTGAGTTATTTCACCCATGACTTGGCTCACTGCCCTCGTTTCCAGTCTCTACTCCACACTGCCTGCCCTAGAGATGGGACAGTGCCTCCAAATAGACAAATGCTGTCTGATACTTGTGAGTATCATTAGCCACATTTTAAATTCCCTTATGTTAATGTCACAAATTCATAGAAAGGCACTTAATTCTTAGTTTTTAGTAATTTCATTGCTTCTGAATCACCCTAGATATCATGCTTTATTTTTGTTTTGTTTTTCCTGTTGACAGATTTTCAGTTTCACAACATTTGCATTTTTCTTTTTTATTTGTGGCACCACATTTGCACCATTCCACTTTTAAGAGTTCCTATGTTCACATTTTTCACATTACTGTATGACTTTGCATGTGGCATTGCACCAGAATGACTTGGGCACTGATGCTTCCTCAAGTGAATTACACCTTTTCCAAAAAGGAGGATGAAAAGTGTTTCATTCATCTCACACAGCTGGCTATCAGGTTATTTTTCTCTGAAGTTCCTACCAATATGTGTAAGCATGTTAAGCATGCATATGACTTGTTCGGTGAGTAAGTCACTCCATAATACGTATTGGAGTGTTATCAGTTTCCTTCAGCAGGATCATGAGCGCTTATCAACATGACACTGTTTTTATAAAAGCCTCTGAAGGAAATGTGACCTGCTGATTAAGCAGACTGCCTGGAAACAAGCATTTGTTTCATTGGGTGTGTTTGGCTCATGTGAACGTGTTTTGAGTTGGTCTGTAGGTTTCTCATAACGGGAAATTGCATCAGAGTCATCTGTGAGGCTGTAACCTCTTAATTTAAATTAAATGTCATATTTTTACAGTGGCCTGTTTTTAAGGTTTTACAGTAATTTATGCGTTGCCCCTTTTATTATAGCGTAAAATGTCATGTATGCAGTGCTTTATTTTTATTGACATGCACATCGCATGGTGTCTTGATGTAAGCTGTGATGCTGAATGTGATTTTTTTTTTTTAATTTTTTTTTTTTTTTTTTATAAAACATCTACATCCTCCCCAAATATGTCAGGTATCATTTCACAAGAACTTGAAAAATGTATTGGATATTTTATTTTTGTTTAATTTATTAAGTAAGAAATGTATTTCTTTTTATGACAATAAAGTTATGAGATTACAGTTGACTGATTTCTGGTTTGTGGTCGTTAATTTGATTGTCCCCGTGTGTTTGCATTAAAGCAATGAGTTACCATGACCTGGTTAACACTTGTACTTCAAGATGATTCAGGTTAATTCCTTGACACAGTGGGGACAACAATAAAATGACTGAGAAAATCAAAGTCTCTCCTGATGTTGCCCTTACTGCTAAATTACAAATATTGGAATGCTAACCATGAGTTCAGTTGTTGAACATGGAAAACTTATGTTAGTATTTAATTTATGTAGAAGATGCAGTTTCTCAATCTAGAAGCTAACATAGTGTCTGAAACTTGCGTTCTTTTTAATGGCTACTAGGGGCTAATAGCAAAAAGAGGGTTTGCAGACATGTGACCACTATGTAATGTTAACTTACTGATGTGTATTACTGAGTATTGTTATGGTTGTAGGTTGAATGAAGTTGAAGGACTACGTTACAATTTTCAGTTTTTCTGTGAAAACTGAAAATTGTAAAGCAAACCACAAATGGAGCCGGTTTGCCTGAAAAGTTTGCACTGTGCCTCCGTGATTCAGCCAACATGTTTCAAAAGGCGAAGTTCCATTTGCAGTTACGACCCCTAGGCTAGTTAGCAAGTATTTGCAGGTAAACATTAAAACCTTTGCCACAGTTGCCAATCTGTTAGCAACTGAAGGATTTTTGGTGAAGTACCTTCTTTTCAACCAATTTCATCCAGCAAGAGCCACCAACTTCCAGGAACCACTACCAGCCAATCAGGGAATACACGTTTCCCGAGCATCCAGTGGTTGCATCACTTCCAAGATGGTGGACAATTCTTGAGTAATACGAAAGACGTCAAATCAGAGACCTCAAGAGAAGTCCTATAGAAATCCAATGTTTGATTATATCACTTTTTTTTTCTTTTTCTTTTTTTTTTAAATCTCAAACGTACTCTGTTTGAGAAGAGAGGATTATCTGGAGTATACAAACCACCTGTGATTGACAAGTATCACATGTCGGTTGCACATTCATCTATTTTCTCCTGCTTATTCAATCAAGGTCACAGTAGGACTGGAGTCTATCCCATTTCCCAAGGCAAATGTCCAGGATACACCCTGGACAGTTCGCCAGCCCATTGCAGGGCTATCCTGTGACGGTCACGGCTACACCAATTGTTGAATTGCCAATTAATCTGACAAGCATATCTTAGGACTGTGGGAGGAAGCCGTGGAACACGAAGGGAACCGTGCAGGCTTCACACTGCTAGCTGGGTTCAAACCCAGGACCCCCTTGCTGTGAGGCAATAGTGTTAAGCACTGGGCCAAACCTGAAAATGTAAAATGAATTCTAGTCATTTCCATTTATGGAGAATTTGACTATGAGCCAATAAACGTGCAAATACTCAGCAACCGCTGGAGTAAGAATCTTTTTGACTTTTTGCAATTAAGTGAGCAAGCTTAATACTTTTATTAAGGATATTTTTTATAGTTCATATAAATATGTTACTAAGATTAAGTGCTAAAAAAAATGCAGCAAATAAAAAAGATTTGTTTTTACTGTTCTGTTGAAATTTAAAAGAGTGAACAGAAAAAGAGGGAAAGAAAAGAAGAAGATGAAATCAATATACAGGATATGGCCCTAGGGAGGCCTGGGCCTGGGCCCCTACAGTAGTCTTTTGGCATATGGGTTGCCTCTTCAACTCGGTGATTTATACTGGCGCCCTCATGCTATACTTTTTTCTAAGCGAGTAAACATCCTATTGCTTAAGGTGATTAAATTCAATGTGAAAAATGAGCCTTGCACTTCACTCTTGACTTAAATCGATCTGCAAACATGATTTCACACAGGGCTCTCCCAGTTCCCTGGAATCCTTTTACACCCCTGCTTCCTCCTGCACTCAGACACTTCTTTAGAGAATCAGTGCTCCAAGGGTTTGAATGATGACACACCAGAGACCTGCCCATATAAGTCAGCCCTGCATTTGTGTGTGCGATATCAGAGCTGTTCCCACCTGCTACTACCAGTGAACAGTAGATTAATGGGGGGACAGACATCCTGAAAAAAATTTAGAACAGAGGTCAATGAGCCATCGCAGGGAGAGGGGAGTCAGGGTGACATTGGTGGCCTTCACCAGAGGGCGTCTAAATAAATATAGATGGCTATTTTAGGAATGGAATCACTATGTATTATGATTTGGGCAAGGAGCAAACCTCGGAACAGAAAATGGTTAAAGTGGGAAGCAGTCCCATGAGCTTATTTTCTGCACACAGGTCAAAAACATTGGTGCAACAACCCAAATTGTCCCTGTTCTGAAAGTTAAGAGCTACAAATGATACCTAGCTCAGTGTCACTCCTGGATTGGATAAGTGGAAGAAAATGAATGGTTGGGCGAACACCTAATAAAGTGTATATAAAGCATAAACTGTGAGATGATAGAAGTAAGTATAAACACAAAGAAACTCTCATAGCTTCAGAAATATCAAATACACACAAATCCAAAGAAAAATATGTTTATTTAATCTATATAGAAATGATGCAATGTGCATCTCAAAGGGAAAAACTGTGAGACAAAAATACTTTGGTACATTTAAATTTCCACATTGCAATTTTTTAAAAGGAGAAAGCAGCAGGGTACGGTGGTGTGGCGGCTCCTACACATGCTTCAGGAAAACAATCCTCAAGAAGTTGTACTGAACTATTGCAAGTTGTTTCTTTGTTATGCATTACGTATGATTAGACTACGCCACCGCTTCACTGAATATTGCACCCTGAATGTGCAAATCCGGGCTCACGATAACCGACATGTAGCGAAACACATTGGTGAGCTTTGATTAAAATAATGAATCAGTGATGGTGTTCAGATGATGTGCAGTATAAAATTGATACAAAAAGGCATATGTGATTTACAAACAATTAAAATTCTACAAATAGTCTCTCAAATACAATTGAATTAAAAGCCAGACTCCAGTGGTCGTTCTGCAGAGCGCACCTGCTACTGAAAGCACAACGGAGAGAGCTGTCAGGCGGTTTAGTAAAAACTAACGCTTCTGAGTGATGTTCCCACAGATCCCACTAACAATGAGAAATCTGAATATCTGATGGCAAGTTTCTACTTTCTATTCTGTCATCTGTCAAGAGACAACTACATACCTCATATCAAAGTTTACAATTTCAAAAAGTTAGAAGCTAAAAATATTTCTCCTGAAACATGTTGCAAATGTAGCTGCGATACTCTGCAACAATAAAAACACACTACAATAAAGGTGAAACAACATATAAAGTGCAAAGAGAGGTTTCAATAAATGCACTGGTACTGACTATAGTAGTCACACAGGCAGTGTACAAATACTCTAAAAATGCCACTTCCCTTGTTTCCCCCCTTTTTTTTTTATTTCCTACCTGTCGTTTTCTCTTATTTTATCTCAACTGCTTTCAGGATGGATCGTCTTAAAAAGGCATTTCTCACAGTATTTGGCCAAGACCAACTTGTAACTTAAAAGTTGTCAAGCAAGAGATTACTCTATACACTGCATATTGCTGCTTAAAATGTCATGGATATGTTCTCTGAGAGATGTAGGTGACTGGCTTCCGCCGCAAGCGGAGGTACATTCATTTCATTGTGGCATAAAATGACATAAAAATTAGAAGTCAGTACAAGACCGTCACAATCACGTGACACCTTCCACCTTTTTTTTTGCAGTTAATTACTCATTTAGTTTATTTAACAACATGAAAAGTGAGAATTTACTCTTTTCTTCTATAGCACTGGCAAAAAAAAAAGCAAATTCCTCATCTTTCCGGAATCAACAGAAAGGTAGTAAACATTTAAAATGTTTTATCTCGAAATACTGCCCAAACTGAGATCAGTGCCAACTACAGCAACAACAACTGTAACAACAACAATATCAATATTGTAAAAAATGAAAAAAAAAGATCACAAGAAAAATAAAATACAATAATAAAACCCTCTTCATAGAAATCAAACCAGACTATCTCTAACGTGAATATACCGGACAACGTAAACCTACTAAAGTTAGCAAATATGATACCACAGAAAGCACATCAATCGTATTCCTCTCACAGAGAGCGCTCACATCATTGTTTCTACAATGGTGTGGGTGGGCTTGATTAAGCCATTGTTCCCATTTGGGTCCAGGGGCTGTGTCAGCTCACTGCCCTTCAAGTTGTATTCTTTCGGGCGGGAGCTCACGCCTGACTTCGCTGGGGCTGCCACTGCTTTGATCCTCTAAAGGGAAGAAGATGAGACATTAAAATAATGATCGTCAGAAACTGGGGTGGTTTAGGGCTTGAAATGACAGTTATCAAGAAAATAAACAAGGGCGGTTGATTAAGGGCAGTTTATGTGATTATTAATTATTGTGTACTTTCTTTTTAAGTAAAATGCTGAAACAAATGAACCAAAAATACATGCAAATTGCTGACTGGACTTTTCTGCTTTTGCAAAGAGCCGGGAAGTCTGTTTCCTCTTGACTTTGGATTGATTTCCCTCATTTAAATCTCTGCAGGAAAGCTCCCGTTAAAAGCTCACCTCAATCAGAGGTCCCTCAGACTGCAAGATCTTGATGACCATCACCATTGGGATGCAGATCATGGAGGACAGAGCCAAAATCCAGCCCAGACCGATGGCCCAGTCAGGGTACTCATACACCTTGTTATAGGTCAATGGCTTGTACTTCACCAGTGAGAAGACAAAACAGCCCTACAGGGAGCAAACACACACACACACACACACGCACACTGCATTTAGCACAAGCTGTGCCCCTTACATGTGACCTTCAGCAATCAACATTTGTCACGCCAGTTCCTCCAACACAGTGAAGTGCCACTGATCTCTCACCATGCAGAGGACAGGAGTGATTATGGACCAGCTCCATTTCATCCACGGGTTTGGTCTGTAGCCAATCATATCCTCAACTGCATCATAGAAGTTATCGACTCCTGTTCAACACAAAACAGAATAAACAATAAGCCGAGTCTATTTGTTTCTGCAAAGTTTGCCAAAATAGT